TATATATATTTGTAGTTCTGTACCATTCAGCTGGAACTGACTTACAGCTGACCCTCCACAGGACAACTGGACCAAATAGGCAACAAAATGATAGATATTCTGAGAGAAGATTCAAGTTGTCAATTATTTCATTTTATTTGTATCTGCAGCCAAGAAATCAAAAGATGTGTTGCACTGGGCAAATCTACTGCCAAAGAGTTCTTTAACATGTTACAGAGCATAGATGTAATTTTAAAGACTATGGTGCTTCTGATTCAAGTCATGGTCTTTTCAGTTCCTTCATAAATATGTGAAAATTGGTTAATGAATAAGAAAGACCAAAAATAATTCATGTCTTTGAACTGCAGTGTTAGTGAAGAATACTGAATATCCCAGGTACTGTGCAAAGAACAAATATGCCCTGGAGGAAGTGTACCAGGGTGCACTTTGAAAGGACAATGAACTTTGTCTCACGTACCATGGACATGCTGTCAGGAGGTACCTGACCCTGGAGAGGCACTTCATGCTTGGAAAAGTAGAGTGTCAGTGAATGATAAGAAGACCCTTAACAGGATGAAGCGACTCAGCAGCTCTAACAATAGTCTTGAGCATGATGAAAACTGGGAAGGATGGTAAAGCTAGGGCAAGGTTTTGATATTTTCTTCAACATAGTTGCTATGAGTTATAGCTGACTCGGTAGCAACAAACACCACCACCAATTATTCTCTACAAGAAACAACCCCTTGAAAGACGTACAATTAGTATCCTAATTTTGTAGATGGCAGGTTTGGTGGGTAGTCTGTAGGGAGTTGTGCTGCTGAGCCAATTCTGGGCATGTCTCTGGCGGTGGGCAATCTCCTCTCATGTGATTTACAGCCATTTAAAGCTGACCCTGCTAGAGGGTTAGTTATGAGTTGGCTCCCATTTAACAACAATGGTGGTTGTTGTTTTTTAACTAATGAGAGAACCAATACATAGAAAAGACAGGGTATTTAACCAAAGTTAAGTTGTTGTTGCTACTGTGAACTGTGAGACAGGTCTTTAGAGGCAGTAGATCACATGACAGGAGACTGCCCATCTTTTTCCCAGAGTAGTTAACTGATTCAAGCTGTGTGTCTTCATGTCAACAGTGCAATTCCTTACCACTAAGCTACCAGGGCTCCCAAATTACTCAACGGCAAGTCTCAAATAAATAAGAATCTTGGCCAGTGGTCATGACTTCACAGTAGCATCTGAAGGAAGCATCTGAAGCCGGTTCTTGTGGCTCCATGTCACACACTTGAACTTGTCAGTGTGCTGCTGCAGCCTTTCCTCCCCGCTTGTCTCAGAGTGCCACCGTGTGTAATGAGCTAAAGAGAGGAGGAGTAAAATCTCTAGGACTCAGGGAATAATGAAGTACCGTTGATTTTCTTTTACCTGTTGTAGAGGTTATAGGAACATCTTAAAGAGTAATGACACACAGAGTGATGGAAACCGCTCAAAGAACAAGCTGATCAAAGTGTTAACAAAACTGCAATTGAAGATCTATCATGCTTTCAAGAAACTCGAATAATTCTGAATCCTTCTTCTTGGTGTTTATTTTAGGTAATGGATCTAAGCCCCCAAAACTTTATGGAAAATGAATTTTATACAGTTTTCAAAGTACTTAGGTTTTGTATTATACAGTTGTATTTCTTTAAAATAATCATATGACATGTTTAGAGTCCCCTTTACTATCGGTTGCCTTGCAGCCATATGGGTCAGCAGAAGAGACCTGTCCACTCTGCAGGACAGTACTGCAAGCTTTATGGACGCACTCTGCCTCATCTTTGTCCTGCAGAGTGTCTCGTGGTTTCAAACCATACACCTTCTAGCTAGCAGTCAAGTGTTTAAACACTGCCGATAATCAAGGAGACTAGATGCTGAGCTCAGATTTCCCACTTTTAAGTTCACCCGTTTTACAAAGCACACAAACCTTTTTAAAATGGGCTCAGTTTGAAAAGTACTCTCCTTCTGGCCATGGCATATGAAAAGCTATACAAAAACTGTCCTGTAAAACTGACAATTTCAGTCTTACAAAAACATCAGGGATCTATACTCAGGTACATCAATGGTTCCACTCTAACAATTACAAAATTGAAAAGAGGTCAAGTATTTAAAAATCATGTTTAAATGCACTGGTCAAACAACCAAGTCTCAATGAAGAAAAATTCCAGAGGAAGAAGCTGACAGTCCCACATCAAGGCCTTATACTTCTTATTGCACAAGCGGACACTGACCCACAAACAATATTATCATGAATTCAGTACTTAAAACATTTATTGTAATGAAATTTTTTCTAGTCCTTGTTATCTCCAAATCAAACTTAAAATCTAATGAACTAAATACAGAACTATGTATACAAAAGAAAACTTACTGATGTGACTTTCAAGTCCCGCTTCTAATTTCTTAAGCCACAATAAAAGGTTTTGTTCAGTTATAGACTGGTCTGAAGGAAATGCAAACACTTGGCCACCTGAATGCAGATTCACCAAAATGAGAAGTGGAAGGGGAGGCAGATGGTCAAAATATGCTTGCAGGATTCCTCTCCCCACAGGAGTGTTCTTTCTACAAAATGAAACAACAGAACATATGAATTAATATTTTTCTTTATCAGAGTATTATGCATAAGTTTATTGTTGTTGTTGTTATGTGCCGTTGGGTCGTTTGCGACTCATAGCGACCCTATGTACAACAGCCCAAATCATGCTCTATCCTGTGCCAATCGCACCGCCTCTGACACACTCATCCCGATTACCCCACTCACTGAATCAATCCATCTCATAGAGGGTCTTCCCCTCCTGCACTGTCCATCTACTCTACCCAGCATGATGTCCCTCTCTAAAAACCTGTCTCTCCTTACAACATGTTCAAAGTATGTCAGATAAAGCCCCAGAATCCTTGCCTCCAAGGAGCAGCCTGGTTTAACCCTCTCTAGGATGAATCTGTTTATTTTGAATATTAAATTTTAAATATGCTTCTACAATAAACTGATTTTAGGAAAAGAAGTCTTGAAAACCAAAAGTTCTATGATTACACTGTTACTAATCATTCCTCAAATGTTTCCTTTTAACAGGAGGTGTGTAGCTTTTATGAGGATAAAAAAGACAGCAATTAATAGCCGTGAGAAACTGGTATAGTCCAAAGATGTGCTAATTTTTACTTTAAATAGTCTATAAGTTCCTTGAAGAGTTTAATCAAATATTTGATCACATGTCAGCTCAAGAATTAAATTATTATTAAATGTAAGATATAACCTTCATTTTCATTTTATGAATGTCAAAGAAAAATACTTGTTTTATATATATTTCTAATATTTATAAATGTGCCTTTCTTCAAAGGGAAGGGCAGTGAGGAGATTAATTTCCAATCTAAGAACTTTAGATTTTTCATTTTACTTTCATTTAAGAACCCACAGATTCATATCTGTTTTTCTATCTAGTTTTTCTAATTCGGTATTCTACATTACATGAAATATTATTCGACTCTGCAATAACTACAATTGCCTGGGGTGGGGACAGTCTCAAGTAAAAAGAGATACACCGTTGAGGACAATCATTTCACAGGAATAAAAGGTATGTTCCATCCACTTTCATTTTTTTATTTTCCAAATATGTAAAAGATGAAGTATTAATCTGTTTCATTTGATAAATTTGAAAAAAAGGGTAAGTGTACCAAGACATCTCAAACATATCAGTCTAGAAGATGAAATTACAGACATTCAGAAAAAAAGAACTGAAAGAAAATGCCAGAGCATCACAATGTTTACTTTTCTGTATTTGTCAAATTTTCCTTAGTGAACATGAATTCTTTCAAAATCAGAAGAAAATCACTGCTTTATAAACAAGGTCATATTGGACCATCTAAGGGGGTTTATGAAAATCCCATGATGACACGTACCCTCACTTACTCACTGCAACCCTGTAGGACAGAGCAGAATGTCCCCTAGAGTTCCCAAGGCTGTAAATCTTTATGGAACCAACGATGACTTGTACGTTGGTTCCATAATATTAACTCCAAAAGCGGAGTCAGAGTTTTATTTCCTAATGAAAATGAAATAAGAAGTATTTATCCCTTCTACTATTAAAGTTTTAATCTACTTACAGGTTTAACCAGCAAGGAATAAGCGAGTCCAAATGATTTCGTTTTATCAGTGTCAGTACTACTTCTTCATGCGTATGATTTATGCTGCCATCACTGAACAAAATAAGTAATGGTTTCCCGAGTTGTAAATAAGTAGGAAGATTTTCCACAGTGATTTCTGGCTGTTAAAAGGCAGGGTGAATGGGAAATTATGATGCAGAACATAAAAAACAATGCGCAATATTTACATCATGCAATGTGTGATTTAATGCTTAAATCGCTCACATTTAATATGTAAATAGAATTCAAATATTTTCAACAAGTAAAATTTTTATGATACTGACTATGGGGTTTACATTCATTTTACCTCAAAAAAACCCCTGCTATTTATCCTTGATTTTCAGGCATAATTTCAAGGCAAAGGGGCCTTGGAATTTAAGACAATCTCAGGGCAAGAGGATCTTATACCTAAGGACATAGGATGTAGAGTTTTCATTATGTAGTGAGTTCCCAAATAACAGCTCTAACACAAGGAGACTTGATGGGCTTCCTGGTGGGTGAAAAGCCTCCATAAAATCTGGAGAGTAGCAGTCCCTTTTTGGGACATAGATGGTCTACAGTGGAAACTGCCTGTCCATGTATATATGTGTAAGGGAGCTCTGGTGGTCATAGCAAGTTGTGCTGCTAAAGATGGTGACTCTACGGCAGTTGGAATCCACAAGCAGCTCCACAGGAAAAGGAAAGCCAATCTCCTGCCATGTGATTCACAGCCTCTAAAAACCCTATGGAGGGTCAGTTATGAGTCAGTTCCAACTTGACGGCAGTGTGTGTGCGGTTTGTGTGTAAACAGACAAACTTTTTTTTTAAACTATATTTGAATGGGGCCTTGACACTAAGTAAAAGTGTGTTTGAGCAGGGATTCCAGACTCAGGGAATATTCAGGACACACAAAGAGCTAACAAAGCAAATATAAAGTCTTGGAAACGAAACAAGTCATTTATGCCACACTGTGAAGGATTTCTTTATCCCAAGTGGTTTGGCTTTTGTCTCTGCCCTTTGTAAAATAATCTTTAGTTAGGCAATACTGGTCATAGTTGAGGGTTTGCATTAGTTATTAGTAAGAAGGCAGCAAACCTACCTACTAACCAAAACCCAAAACACTAATACTCAATGAAGCTTCCTGAGGAAAAGAGTCCTGGAAAGAGCCTCCTCAGAAGAGACATGCCCTCAGCTTCAAGGACCTTTTCAAACCTTGTCACAGTATCATTTGCTCTTCCCCTCCCCACCCCCATTCCTGGGCATTATTTCTTTTTCTTTTTAAAAAATTTTATACTAGTTTATTTACAAAGTTCATATACATTGTTTTTCATACCAGGATCTTCCCCATTTCCTTAACCCACCCCACCTTCCACCCATCAAATTGTGTAACCTCACCTCTCTGCTCCCCCACCTCCGCTTGGATCCTTATATACATTTTACTCGTTATCTATTTCTACAATATTAGTCTTAAACAGTATTTGTCCTTATGAGGTTGAGTTAGTTCATTTATCATTTGCTCTTGAGTTGCTTCTGAATTGTATCATGGTTTTTCTGCTGGTTCTGACTGTGAATTCTCTTCAGTTGTATCCTTTACCCTAATAAATCAAATAACCGTAATACAGCCTGAGTTCTATGTGATGTTGCAGCAAGTTACTCAGCAGAAAAGATAGTGTTGTAAGGAAGGGAGTGGCTGGTGTCAGAGACAATGAAGAAGCTGAAAAATTTAGATACTTGACCTCCACTTCCAAAGAACTAGTTCTGTGTTGATCCTTATTCATGTAAAGAAATCAAAGTATTCACTTACAGACAGGAGTAAGCAAGAGGAAAGTCAGATGGAGAAACGCTTTAGTAAGTTTTCTCATTCTCAAGAATACGGAAAAGAATTTGGGTCAAATGGATATTATATCTCTATATAAAAAGAAGGCTTGCTATAATATGAATATGCAAAAAGATAGAGCAATGATGGACACTTTTCTTTACTATGTATATCAGAAAGGAAAAACAAAGAGGTTTGAGTTTAAGTTGCTTGTTCCTTTATGGACTGTTGACCCAGAACTGACTCATAACTGATCTTCCAGCAGCTTTTCATATGCAGTAAATCATAAGCAAGGAGACTGACCATCTGTATCCTGTGAAGTAGCTGGTGGATTTGAACCAAATGCCTTTGTATTGGCAGTGCAACTCATTTAAGCCACCAGAGCTCTTAATAAATGTAAGAAAAAGTCCTAATTTTAAAAATCAAACTTAATAATCAAAAGCTGGTCAGACTTACAAAACCTAACTATCATTTGCTTGACTTTGACTCATAGCAACCCTGAAAAGCAGAGAAGAACTGCCCTAGAGAATTTTCAAGTCTGTAATCTCTCCACACATACACTATCACATCTCTCCCTCATGGACTAACTGGTGGGTCAAGAGCTGACAATGGTAGTAAATGTTATGGACATGGATAAAATTTCCCACAGAAAGGCTTTCTTAAAAGATGTAGAAGGTGTGTGGATATCATTCTAGAAATGAAATGAGCCTTGAGTGATTATCAGGATTGAAGGAGTATCTGGAGAGAGTTTAACTGCAAAAGACAGAGGAGGGGAGAATTTTAATAAGAAATGGTGTAATCAACAGTGTTGAATGATACTGAGAGGCTATGAGTGCTATATCCAGTCAATGGGAAAGCAACAGTTTCCTCAACAGCTGGGGTACCAAGAGTGCCCCTGAAAGAGAATGACATTGGATTCATACTTTATGTCTTACATTAGAATTAACTCAAAAAAATGCTCAATGTTCTAAATAAAAGAATTTAAACCATAAAGTACTTAGAAGAAAATATACAGGCAAAAATAATTTTTGGCAATGGATTCTTAGAAATTACCCCCAAAACGCATGCAACAAAAGGAAAAACAGAAAGATTGACCCTCAGCAAAAAACTTTAATACTTGTAAGAGACAAACTACAGTTTGGGAGAAATTATTTGAGAATCATTCATGTGATGAGATAGGGGGCTCTGGTGATGTAGTCTATAGGGAGGTGAGGTGGAACCCAAAGATCATGACTCTCTGGTGGATATGAGCTTGCTTCTATCTGACTCATATATGGCTCAGGCTCCGGACGAAAGTTCCAGTATGTGGCAACTGTAATGGTTTTAATAATTGCTTAAGGATTTTAAAATTTGTGGAAAGGTCACAAACTGAAAGTAGAAGATTTTATTTTTATTTTAGCTTTTCAGTATTTTGTTGAACTCAGGAAATCAAAACATATTAAACAATAACACTGCTATTTCCATTTGTCTTAATTAAAAGCAGATTCTCATAGTTAAGTTTACCCAGGGCAGCTTCTGAGCCTTAAAGAATAAAATCTTGTGAAAACACAAGAGCTTGATGGGCAGAAGGAGGGGGTTAAGGAATTTAAAAAAGATCCAATGTGGCCCTGAAAAGGTGGTGTAATGGTGGGCATAGATCAATGGTGATTAATTTTACAAAACACTGTGGATAGGAATGACCATATAAAACACAATATATATAAACAAACACAATGTATAGAAATTTTGTGTGTAAACCAATAAAAATTAAATAATTTTTAAAAAATAATATTATCTTGAATTTTTAAAAATTTTTATCTATCAGGTATGCAAATATGAAAGAGTAAAATGATCCAAATCTTCTATCAGGTAATACAGAAATATTCACCAGAGGTCTATTCTTTGGACTCTTGTTGTTAGTACTGTGGAGTCCGAACAGACGCACAGCTGACGCTCCAGCAGGTTTTTAGAGGCAGTAAATAGCACGGGAGGAGATTATCCATTAAGGACTTATTCCAAATATATGCTTACGTATTAACATAAGAATTATTTGCAAGGAGGTTTCCTAAGTTAAACCAAAAACAACTTAAATATTCACTAATAGAATATTTTACAGTTTAAAAAAATCAATATGCATATTACTTCTAAGGAATGTTCCTTTAAAATGAAAGACAAAAGACAAATGTGGATATACACACAAATTTGTCCCTTTACCTTTTTTCATTCATTCACTGTTGCACATTTTCTTCCCCTTTCCCTCTCCCCTAGTCCACTTTGCCACGCACCTCTTGATCCAGATTGTTGTCACATATAATGCCTAATCATGTATTCTTTTTAGACAGTTCTTCCTCTCATCTGTTCCAATGCAATGTTCATTATCCACTCTTTTCCTATTGATATCCATGTTTAGTGCTACATTATTCACAATAGCAAAGAGATGGAAGCAACCCAAGTGCCCACTAACAAATGAATGAATAGACACACTGATGCAGTCACACAATGGAATATTACACTGCATTGAAAAACAGTGAACTCCTAAAACATTACACAACATGGGTGAGTCTGGAAGACATTATGTTGAGTGAAATATCTAAGTTACAAAAGGACAAATATTGCATAACACCACTGTTATAAAATAGGACTGACATGGAGTTGAGGTGAGAATAGGAAAAGAGTGGATACATAAATGTTTTTAAAAATACATACAAAGTCAAACTCAATTAGAGAGGGTAGAGTTGATCCTGACTTTCTTATTTATAGTTTTTTGTATTATCTGAAACAAGTTTAAAGTTTATCATAATTCTAATAATACTATGTCATTATATATGTGCTAAGAAAGTATTTAATAGCATGCAATTAGAGATAAAAATTTTACTTTACTAAACAATTTTGAAAACTTAAATATTAACATCCTGGAAATACTAACACAATGATTTATAACCTGTAAAAGGTCATAAACAGGCTTAAAAATGAGTAAGGTCATTTAGTGAAGCCTAAAATATAATGTTACTTAGATCATTATGACAAAAACCCTAAGAGAAGGATATTGATTTGGCATCTATAGGCTATAATCTGCTCCTTATTGGGTCCTTTTACACATGTACAGAAGTATAAACTTATGATAAGCTAGGATAAGGCAAGGTACAGATCCATTTTTCAGAGGGTCGTTCTGCATCAAAGTCAACTCAATAGCACATTAACAACAACAAAAAACCCCAACAGGACTTATGTTTAAAAAACTGTAAAACAGTAGAAATCAAGTAACTTAGGTTATATGAACTATATCCTGAGCACACAAAGAAATGCATTCGAAAAGGCCTTTCATGAGACAATATCATTCCTGCTATCTGTGCCATCAAATCAGAACCAACTCATAGCTACCCCATCAGCAGACTTTCAGAGGCTGTAAATTAGGGAGTGGCAACTCCCCATCTTTCTTCCTTGGAGTGGATGGACTTACATGCCTTTAGGTTGGCAGCACAACTCTTTACTCACTAGGTCACCAGAGCTCCCTGGTTTTATTTTGTTCTAAAGATGCACAAAAAAGAAAATAAACATAGTAGCTAATATATTGAGTATTTACTATGGAGCAAATATTAAAATATATTATTTGGTCTTCACAATTAATTCTCTGCAGGAGGTAACATTATCATGTATATTTTGCATATATAGAAATCCACGTATTCAACTCAATAGGGGATCAAGAAAGGGTCTGAAGTTAAGCAATTTGATTCTCTTGGAGTCCAGGTGCTTTATATATCAAGCTTCAGTGATGATCTAGGATTTCAATGACACCAAACTCAGAAAGAAAATGAATCTCAAGACATGGAGTGTTTGACAGTAGACTAGAGAAACTGTACACATAATAAGTAAATGACAAAACAGAATAAACAATCTGTCTTCAGTATATATATATATCTCATGTCCTATGCCAGCAAAATCTGCAATATAATGTACTAAAATACACTACCTTTAACTGATCTGCATTTTCTACTTTAAATAACATCCTTGTTGTAAAGTATACTCACAAACATTTCCAGTAATGAATCTGTTATTATTTGAACTATATCTCTAGGAGTGTTAGCTAGTGGAATGCTCTCTATTTTTCCTTCTTTGTGCCTGGCAAGCAGCAGGGCTGGAACTGTTGAAGCATATTTCTCTGACCTACGACAAAATGCAGTATTAAAATTCACAAGCAAAATATAGCCAGATATCAAACACTTGAAAAATTAGGCCAGGAGGTCATAGTGCAAAGCAGCAAATGGAAATCCCTAAAGAAAAAGAAAAAAAAAAGAAGCTCAATTCCAAACAAACTAATCTTCAGCGGGAGACTATTCAAAGAAGTTCATGAGCCTTGATGACCCAGATTAAAAAGAAAGCAACAGATAATAATCAAGCCAGAATTTTTTTCTAGTTAGTTTGTCAAGAAACTGTCTAACAGGATTTAGAAAATACTGACTAATTTTCAACATTTCTGGACTGTTTACCATTCCAGGTCTTTATTAAACACCTTCTATTTGCTGGGGCTTCAGTTGGGTTTTCATTTAATTCTCTAAATAGTCTTATGAAACAGCATTATCATCTCCTTTTTACAGGTGAGAAAATGGAGACAAAGTGATTAAGGGCAAAGACAAGATTCTGAGAAACTCTCCTGACACAGACTGCTTTCTCCAATGAACAAAAAGAACCTTAGTTCCCTCATTTCTGGCTACTAAAAATAAAAAGGTAAAAGAAAATTGGTTGCTGTGAAGCTATCAAAGACATGTAAAAACTTAATTCATGCAAGTGCAAGACTCCACAGTACTAACAGAACCATCAGAGAGTACTATTTTCAAATTACCTAGAAGATTCTCTAACTAGTTGGTTATAAACAAGGCATGTATGTGGCTGACTCTGAGAAGAATGGGAATCCCAGAACTCTTGATTGTGTTTATGTGAAACCTATACTTGGACCCAGAGGCAGACGTCAGAACAGAGCAGGGAAACATTGCATGATTCAAAATTGGGAAGGGTGTATGCCAGGGATGTGTCCTATCTCCATGCCTTTTCAATCTATATGCAGAGCAGATTACTCAGGAGGCTGGGCTCTATGAGAAGTGTGGCATCAGGATTGGAAGAAGATTCAGCAACAATATGTGTTATGCCGATGACATAGCCTGAAACTGAGGAGGACCTGAAGCACTTGCAACATCAAGAAAACAAAGATTTTTCACCACTGGGTCGACTGGCAGCATCGTGGTAGCCAATGAAAAGATTGGGACTATTAAGAGCTTTTGTTTGCTTGGCCCTACAATCAACACTCTTGGTACCAGCAGCCAGGAAATTAAAAGATGAACTGCATTGGGAAAGTCTGCTGCCAGAGACCTCCCCAGAGTACTGAAGAGCAATGATGTTAGTCTGGAGACTAAGGTGTGCCTGATGCAGACCATAGTCTTTGCAATTACTTGCTATGCATCAGAAAGCTAGACAATGACTAGGGATGACAGAAGGGGAATTGATGCCTTTGAGTTGCAGTGCTGACGAGTGTTGAATATACCATGGACTGCTAAGAGAACAGATGGGTTCATCCTAGAGAGGATGAAACCAGGCTGGTCCTTGGAGGCAAGTTTTGTCTGATCTACTCTGGACATGTTGCAAGGAGGGACCAGTCCCTGGAAAAGGACATCATGCTTGGGAGGGTGGAGGGATGGTGCAAGAGAAGAAGACCCTCGATGAGATGGATTGATTCAGTTGACTAGGGTAATGGGGGTAGGTGTTTCAGAGACAATGAGATTGGCACAGAATAGGGTAGGGTTTAGAGCTGTTGTATGAGTCGTTATGAGTCGCAGGAGACTTGATAGCAAATAACAACAACAATATACTGAAAATTACTAGTATAGTTCTTTCACCTACAGTTAAACACATAATGACATAGGAGTAGAAAATAGGGAGTGATTACTCCTGCATCAGGCCCATAACTTATTTCTTTCTTGAAGAACTAGAGCTCATTATTTGCTTTTGCAAAATCACTGATTTCAGCGCTAAAACAAAAGACTTGCTCAACAAAACCTTATTATCATCAGTGTTCATGATGACAGAGGATTTAAATTCAGAAATCACAATTAGTCACATCTCAGAAGGGAAGCAAGACAGTACTGAGGCTTTTCAACTCCAACTGCACCTGAAAATAAGCCATTAATGGAGAATGTGATGTGTATTAATAATATTTTTTAAACTTGCAGTACAGTCATTCATTTTGCAACAGCTAAATTATTCTGACACTTAAGTCCCAACTTCGACAAAGAAATTAGCTAAAAAAGTAATACATGTATTTTTTTGCTTAACTGAAAATTAGGGATTTAATATAGATGCATCACCTAAAAATTCAGGAAGCACATATGGGAATATGAGAAAAAATTTAGATCTTATTTTTTAATAGACCTTAGTGGCAAATAAAATCCCAGACTTTTAACAAGTAACATTATCCAAAGACTTTTCCTACTCTAATAAACCAAAATATACAGTTAATAAAACCCAAAGAAGACAATTACTATCTGATGAGGAAGAATGATTCCAGAATCCAGAAAGAATTTAAGTAGCTTTGTTCTCAGCAGATATTCTTGAAGAAAATGTAAAATTTTAGTACACTGAATGCAATCCTGGTGCCATTTCTTCAGTAACTGTGTAAAGAAAAAAACTGTTTCTAGGATAACTTCTTGTTAGTGGAGCACAAAACTTACAATATAAAAACATCTTCTTCAGAATAAAATGCAGTGATGACATATCCTTTTAAGTAATTTCCTGCTTTGGTGAAATCTTCTATTTCTACAAATATAAACAAAAAAAAACACCCCCTGTAAATACTTAAAAATTATATTAGCTATTTAACTGATAACTATATCTATAGACAGTAGCACTTTTCTAAAAAATATTACAATAATTTCAAACATATTATATAATCTGTTGCTATGCTAAGTACAAAACTTAACAACCCTATGAATAACAGATCTGAGCCTGCCTTGTCCTAAGCCACCCTCACAAACTCCAGCATACTCCAGCCCAGTTATTACTGCATCTATCCATGTTGTTAAGGGTTTTCCTCTTGTTCACTGAACCTCCATCTTCCTTAGTACAGTACCTTTTTCCAGGAATTGGCCCCTCCTTACAACATGCCCAAAGTATCCGAAGTGAAATTTCACCACCCTTGCCTCTATAGAGCACCTTGATTGGATTTCCTCCAAGATGGAGTTGTCTTTTGGTAATCCATAATACATTCAATACTTTTCTCCAACACCAGAATTTAAAGATATCTGTTCTACAATGCTGGGTTTGTTTTTAATTTAAATCATTATCCAACTTTCATATTTACAGGAAATAACTGAAAATACCATGGTTTGGATCAGGCACATCTCAGTCTTTTAAGTTGATATCCTTGCTCTTTAGCACTCTGGATTGATCCTGGACAACAAATTTTCCCAATGCAACCCATTTTTTATTTCTTGACTGCTACTACCAGGGGTAATGTGACTCTGGAAGCAAGTAAAATTAAATAGCTGGCAACTGCAATCTTTTCTCAATTTAGCATAATGTTGCATATTGGTCCAGTGGGGAGAATTCTTATTCTTGGTGTTGAGATGTAAACCATATAGAAGGCTGTCGCCTTTGATTTTCCTCAGTGTTTCAAGTCTTCTTCACTTTCTGCAAACAAGGTTGTGTCATCTGCATAAAACATGTTGATGAGCCTTCCTCCACTCTTGACAGTACACTTCTTCATACAGTCTAATTCTTTGCCTAGCATACAGATATATCTGTGAGAACAGAACTGAAGAGAATTCTATAATATAACTGACTTACACTGTTTTAAAGTGTCAGTATCTTAAATCACAGTAATTGTTTTCAAAGAAGAGACAAAAGGACATGATGCTAAAATGCAATGGGTGACTCAGGATGTCTTTTGGCATAGAGACAGCGGGTAAAATCTCAATAAAGTACAAAAGGTAGATGATTATGTTTATAATTTTTCACATTCTAAGTTTGCTAAGTGCAGTGCTGCTGCTATGTAAAAGAATATTCTCATAGTTATCTAATTTTTCTTAATATATTTTTATTATTTTGCATACAATCATTTATATACATTTTGTTTTAGTCATGTATATTGTCTTTCATACAATCTCTCATTTACATTATGTTTCATTTATGTACATTGTGTTGGTATTTTTTGAAAAATGAAATTTTTATTTTATACTGGTTTTCTTACAAAGTTTGTACACATTGTTTTTCACACTAGATTTTCCCATTTGTTTTACTCACGCCTCTCTCTATCCGTCAAATTTTGTGACCCTATGTTTACCCTCTCTCACATTTAACTCAGGTTACCCATGGTGGATAGTGTTTTGTGGAGCTCCCCAATTAAAACAAGCTTGGAAGCAGGGGTGCACCCACTTCCATAATACCTTGCCTTTGGAAACCCTATGAACCTGGAGAAAGGATGAAAGTCACACAACTGTGGAGAACTTTCGTTCATAGGGTCGCTATGAGTTGCCTACAACTTGACAGCACTTAAAAAACAACAACATAGAGATCAGTTGGCCTAGTGGACAGAAAGTCATGCTGCCAAGCCAAAGGTGGGTGACTCTACTCCACGGCCCTCGCACCTCCCTTTGTTTTTGGTGAAACATTCTTCTAGGTCATATAACCCTGGTCTGTCCACTTGCTGTACAGCGGTAACTCGTGGGTTGCTGTGAAGCCAAACACTGTGACACCAATGAGTCAAATGAGAGAATGGTTACCCATGGTGGACAGTGTTTGGTGGAGGTCACAGCTAAAACAAGCTTGGAAGCAGGAGTGGCATCCACTTCCATAAATAGCTTGTCTCTGGAAACTCTATGATCCTGGAGAAAGGACAAAAGTGATACAGGTATCCAGGACTTTAGTTCATAGGGTCCTATGAGTCGCCTACGACTCGATGGCACTTGACAACAACTACAACATGATTACCCCCTGCCCATCCTCACCCCTCTACTCCTACCCTCTCCCACATGGATCCTCATACACATTTTACTAGTTATCTATTTTTACAACAATGGTCTTATGTAATATTTGTCCCACAAGAACAAATTGTCAAAATCATCATATTCTTCGACTTCATAGGTTCAAATATATTGTGATAAGGATGTCTTCCCTAGTCCTGGGAAAAACATAAAAAGAAACATATATGTACTCCTTATGAGAGAAAAAAAAAAGAGGTGGCAGAAATGAACTAAAAAGGACCAAGGAAGCACAAAACAAGAAGCATACTTTCAAATCACTGAATATAGCAAGTATAAATGGCTAAAGCTCACCTGGTCAAATAAAATTATAACTAAAAAAGAAACTACAAGGTAAGAGAAATTGTTTAAAAGAGAGCGTAAACTGGCCAAGAATCAGTTGTTGTTATATGCCGTTGAGTCGACTATGACTCATAGCGACCCCAAGAACAATGGCTTTGAACTTTGCCCTACCCTGAGTCAACCTCATCATCTGACACACCTGAGAACATTGCCACAGTCACTGCGTCAATCCATCTCATCTAGGATCTACCTCTCTTACGACGATGAAGCCTGTGAGTTGCGGTGCTGGAACAGAGTCTTGAACATCCTATGGACTGACAAGAGAACGAACAGGTCTGTCCTGGAGAGGGTAAAACCAAGTTGGTCCGTGGAGACAAGGATTTTGAAACTCCATCTCACACATACTTTGGGCATTTTGTTAGGAGGGACCAGTCCTTGGAAAAAAAGCAAGGATGTTAAGACTTCATCTCACATATTTTAGGCAAGAAAAAAGGGAATGCTTGGAAAAGGAGAGGGTCAGTGAAATACAAGATGACCTTCAACAAACCAATATAAAATAGATTTTAAAAAGACGGACTGCCACAATGACTATAAGAATAGACTAAAAGTACAGTAAAGACTGTAATTATGGTGCAAGAGCAGGACGGGCTTTATTCTCTTACACACAGGATTACTATAAATTAGAGCTGGCTTGATAGCACCTGACATTCCAAACTTATTACCAAGTAAGCAGGTTAAGTTTTGAATGATGTTGTTAAGTGCCATCGAGTCACAGGTGACTCATAGCGAACCTATGAACTAAAGTCCTCAACACTTGCGTGACTTTCATCCTTTCTCCACATTCATAGGGTTTCCGGAGGCAAGCTATTTACGGAAGTGGATGCCACTCCCGTTTCCAAGCTTGTTTTTAATTGGGAAGCTCCACCAAACACTGCCCACCATGGGTAACCATTATCACATTTGATACACCAGTGTTACAGTGTTCACAGCAACCACGTACGGCAAGTGGACACACCAGCGCTATACGACCTAGAAGAATGTTTGTCCATACACAATTAAAAATGGGCCTGAGGGCCGTGGATTAGAGTCACCCAACTTTGGCTTGGTAGCGTCATTTTCTGTCCACTAGGCCAACTGGTCTCTATGTTGTTAAGTGCCGTCAAGTCGTAGGAGACTCATAGCGACCCTATGAATGAAAGTCCTCCACCCTTGTGTGACTTTCATCCTTTCTCCAAGTTCATAAGGTTTCCGGAGGCAAGCTATTTATGGAAGTGGATGCCACTCCTGCTCCCAAGCTTGTTTTAACTGGTGAGCTCCACCATGGGTAACCATTATCGTATTTGACACACCAGTGTCACACCATTGTACCACCAGGGTAAAATGAAATTTATCCATCTATATGTATTTCTTCCCAAATTGGGAAGGGATATGTCCTGTTTCCATACCTTTTCAAACTGTATGCAGAACAGATTATCCGGGAGGCTGGGCTCTATGAGGCGAAGTGTGGCATCAGTATTGGTGGAAGATCCATCAACAATCTGCGTTATGCAGATGACACAACCCTGCTTGCTGAAACTGAGGACGACCTGAAGCACTTGCTGTAGAGGGTCAAGGACTGCAGCCTCCAATATGGATTGAAGCTCAATGTTAAGAAGACAAAGATTCTCACCACTGGACCAATTGGCAGCATCAGGATAGATGGTGACGAGACTGAGACTATTCACAGCTTTAGTTTGCTTGACTCCACAGTCAACACTCTTGGCACCAGCAGCCAGGAAATTAAAAGGTGTATTGCCATGGGAAAGTCTGCTGTTAGGGATCTCTCCAAAGTACTGAAGAGCAATGGTGTCTCTCTGGAGACTAAGGTTCGTCTGATACAGGCCATGGTCT